ACACAAAAAATCTCACTAGAAACATACCATCCCAGTTCTTGGCCGCACCACAGGTGATGAATGTAGCAATCGATAATCATTCTTTGCCCTCGGTGATCTTGCTGATTTGTGAGCGTTGAAATAGATCATCAACAATGTTACTTACTACTCACAAGTATCTCACAACACTAGTGATCTCGTGTTCTCAAAGTGAAACCTTACTGTGGTGATCAATGCACAGAACACATCGGGGTGTGGTTAACCCTAGCTGGTATTTTGTAGAGAGCTAATTTCTCCGTTTGTGTTTTTGCAATTCGCGAGATAAGCGCTTGATTAGTCTTGGGATGAGGTCTGTTGAAAACAGAACATGCAATTGATAGTGCTAGGATAAAATAAGTGGAACACAACAGTGCGATGTTTTCCCAGTCATTATTTTGTTCCAGATTGATTGTAATCTTCTATGGTGCACGAGAATTGCTAGACACTGGGGTCTGCCACAATGTATCACCCAGACAAGTTGCACAGCCGAAATAATATTTAATGTCACGGTCATCCAATGATTGTCGTCATAGACCAGGACCAAGCCTTGGTATGTCTTAACAAAACGTACTGCTTGTGTGGACAGACAGTCTGCTTGTCTCACCAACATGTGGCGTTTGACTTGGAGTAATATGCGTTGTGGATATTTAATATTTTTTCCTGATTTTAGTAGGCATAACGATAGAATGAAACGAACCAGTTAGCAAGTTCGAAAATGAGGAAAATACTAGGAAGAAATATCAAGGAACAAAATAAACCGAGTTCTTTGAGGTATGCTATTAATTGCGGCCTTTATTTTAAACAACAGAAATATATTAGGCTGACTTCCACATCTGTGTTTTGAAATTAGTCCTCTTATTTAAAGGCCACATCTTTTGCAGTGATACAAACTTCTCGAGTGCCACATACACTGCCTTTAAGTTTAAACGTAATTTAAGAAATGGCCGAGTTGTAAATTCTCGGTTAACGAATTCCGGTGCTTTGTGTCCGTGAATGAGTACAAATTTCACCGCAACGTAAGGACGTAATCGAGACTTGAATTACCATAAGTGATAAAAGCTTTAATGAATACCACTGAATCTGCTTTAGCCCACATCTACACCTGCATCCCCACATATGCTTAGTCAACTCTCGTTGTCTGAACCGAAGTTTATCATTGATAACTCGATATTGAAGGTCAAATCGAACACCTTTTGTACACCACCGGTTTCACCTGTTTCTTCGTTTACCTATCAAAATCAGGCAATTTTACTTTCTCTTGTCTGATTGGCGTATTGGGTTGCCTAACATGTTAGCTTTTCCGTTGTATCTATAGGTTATTCGGCTATTGCGAATTTTCTACACATCAGCGATCTAACGCTACCGAAATTAATGTCCCGGTTTGACAAAGATGTTTGAGAAAGTAGCTTGGTGGTGGATTAAATTTAATTTTATGATAAATTTCGTTTATACAGAGCAAAGGAAGCGTGATATAAAAGAGCCTCAGCATTGCACTGCCGGTTCAAACCCGTAGGGTATCATCAATAATACAAATCCCAGTGATCCAGAAAAAAGACAGGATATGGTTTGTGGTATATTGTGTATGGATGAAGTAAAACATTCTCAGCATATTATCGGATGTCTATTGTTATGCAGTATGTTTAGTTTCTATCTCTGATGTCCCCTTAAAATAAAAGATATTTACATCTGATTCCTAGCCAGTCTAAAGTTTTCTGGTAATTGGCAATCTTACCAGACGTCAACGAATCTGCCAAGGTCAGTTCTCAATCCTGCACTCTCTGAAAGTCTGAAATTAATTGGGAGTGTACTTTGGTCCCCTTTGCCTCCGAAACCCATGCCTTTTACTTATGTGGAAACCTTTATTGAAAAATGTATTGCAATTCATAAACAAGAACAGCCTGCGCTAGAAGATTCATCTTTCACAGCCCACGCAGAACGCGAGAAACTCCGGGTTCCATGTTGTAAAACTGCAACATATGTGTGTTGCAAATTATCCCTAAACGTCAACGTTCATTACACCAAGTGTGATCCTTATGGTGGGCGATAAGTCATTTCTACCCAGGTTCCCAACAACCTGACCTTTGCAAAAAATATTCTTTAGGGATCAAAACGCTAGTTTCATGGAATTTTCGTGGATAAAATAAACCAAACCCGAACCACAGGCGAATTTTCAAAAAAGTGTTACTTACCTTATTTGTAGTACTTTCTTGAATCTACGGTTCCTACGCACACAAACATGTTTTCATTCCATGGTGCGTCAAGTATCCAGGATCTACATCGGTGACATAGCGAAATTTGCTTGCGAAATGTGCAAAAAGTCTGCTTTGAATTTTAGCTCTACAAGTTTGAGCTAAGCTGTCTAAAACAGCATGTTGTATGCGTACCTCCTTTGAGTAGCATTTTGGAATATGGATACATATTCACACACGTATTTTTCTTTTGCAAGCAGTTTGCGCCACCTTATTCAGATTTGATGGCAATTCAAGAATCGAAGATTTAACCCAAACGTGTTTGTTTAGTTTAAGTTAACCCCTTTTTCAATATGCTGATTCATTCACTGTTTCCGGCAATTTGTAAATTTATTATTACAATAAACAGTTTTAATGAACGATCACCTGGAAAACAGGTGATTTATTTATCAATATCAACGACAAAAAGCCATATTTGTGCCCAAATGAATTCCAGTGTCTTCATACATATACATACAATTAAAAAATTGAATCTGATTAGATGGAGAACAAATGGTATGGAATCCATGTGTCGCAACTTGTCTATATGTGGGATACAGAACACTAAATGGTTTTCGATGCACTGCAGATCGAGTCGGGTCCTCAGTTAGTCTGTTTCTGAGTTTGCCTAACAGCGATGAGGTAGCGTCATCCGGATTTTTCAGTGCTGCATGTAACACGTCCAAATTGCATTGTGAATCGCTATCGTGAATTTGAGCAGATCAAAACTTACCATATTTTTCACTATCACCTTCAAAAGACGTCTTAAATTACCTGTCGTTCTCATGAAAGTTTGAGATTAGCATCATTTGAAAACAACCCATTTATTAAAAGCAGCTTTTCATGGCATATTTCTTAACGAAACATTTGTTTTATTTTATTCCGGTGGTCTTCGTTAAGCAAATCTGGATGACGATGTTTTCCAAGTTTTGGAAAGCTTTCCATCTACCGGTCCCACAATATTGTGACAGTAGTTGATTAATGAACAAGAGGGAGATTTACAAATTCTTAGAAAAAATGTGATATTCCCTCTCATCCCCTGTGGTGGAGAGTTTGATATCTCCCATGCACGACGAGTTTAATAATGTTTGTGAGATTCATTGACAGAAATAGCGACAGATATTAGCTTATAATCTTAACAGCCTCCTTATAAATTTCAGCCATGGATTCCCTCCGGGTGAAATAACACATCATGGACGTAGGACGAATCTTGTAAATTTCAATCATTCGATGGTTCGGTTTTTGTTCAACCTTTGGAGCATCAGGTGATGAATGGTATGATTGGGACGTCCTAAAAGTCACGGCGTTTTTGCCCGAGCCCAACTAGTGGATAAATTTCACTTATGATTTTAACATCATTCACTCTTGCAGAAGACAAAATAAACTTGATTTTTTGGTAGAGTTAGTATGAGGAACCATGACAGCAAAATAATGAATAGAAAACCATCCGTTAGAACTATTATTATTCGACTGGCTACGCTACTTTTACACGCTCTCTGTCATATTCTTGAGACTTTCACATTTTTACACAAAATCACACGTCGTTGCTGCTCAGTTGGTTACATAATTTGTCTCAATAATCTTAGGACATCTTTTGATCGATCGTTCATCGGCTTTTGCGATTCCAGCCTCTCACTGTCCAGCTCAGACATAAAAAACGCATCCCGCAAGCTGACAAGTTGACCTTTATTACAAAATTATGTGATATAAAATGTGACGTATGAGCCAGTTGATGAACCACCGAATAAAGCTTTTTGCGTTTTTCTTTATTACACCCTTTGATCAAGTTGATTGTTCATTCAATTGTCAACACTAACAACTGGTCCCTGTTACCAAGGATGTTGCATTTAACTAGTTTCCTCCATTCCAGAATTCATATGGACACTTGTGCAATCCTTGTGCAAGAATCCTGGCTGAATAAGGATAACATAAAGGACACTATAGTGTCACTGGACGAATTTCAAGTTCACCGACAGGTTCGTGAGACCGGAGGACAGAAGAGTTGAAGGACTGTTTTAATATATATCGACGTTTTCTGTTGTGGAAAATCTCATGCTATTTGTTTCGTATTGCTCAAAATGTATTGAATGTTTAACCGTGCAATGTCACCCCAGATTTCCCCGTTTCACTCGCAAAATCCAAACTAGCTTGTACATAGCACCTTACTGTATACAATCAGATTATGTTTCATTCTTTGACATATTAATAGCTTTCATGTATTAACTTACACATAATCCTCAGGGACTTTAACCATACTAGTACTTATCCTTTTTTAGCATTAGATATGACAGAACATTATCACTCTCTCACATGAGGTACCTCTACGTAGAACAAACTAATCACTCACTACACGTATGACAGGCAATTTGGATTTTACCACATATTTAATAATAATAACACACTGGGAGAAGTCAAACCATTTAATTCTGTCGTGTATGGTTTCACTACCCGGTAGATAGATTTTGCAAAGCAATTCATTCGGTAACTTATATGAGACACAAAAGTCTTAATGAATAAAATAACAGAAGTTTTATAGAAAATATAGTGCAAAATACAAACCTGTAGGATCTGTTACGTGGTAGCACAAACTAAATCAAGACTTATCTTGTTTATATGCTGTGAGCGTACAGCATCATCGTTGAACACAAATCAAGTCTCTCGGGTCAAATTAATCCAAATAATCTCCAATAGATGTTCGGTGAGATAAAAACAGGGAGAAGAATGAACCGCTTATTTAGCTCTCGGTATTCTCGTTCAATTTGACCTCGCTTCTTTTCCGGACCGCTTCTGATAGACTGAACTTTTTCTTGATCGAATTCCGTACATATTCGGGTTAGTTCCTGTATTCATATCATCTAATTCCTCACGGATACCGACTGGAGATATCTCACCGCCCATGGCTGATCTGGTTTTCCCGTGGCTACTTGGACGACGAACTTTTGGCTTGACATTACGTGATCTGCTTTCTGAATCCACTGATTTTTCCCTGTTGGGTCTTTTTGGTTGATCTAGGTACGGATCTTCGAGACATTGTTTTATCAATTCATCCACTATCCTCCGGTTTGAAGGATGCATAATCCAAGAGCTGGGTGCACTACTGGTACGACACGTACCGGAACTAACAGTTGTTGAGGCATTACTAATTCGCGGCGGTGGAGTCTTGTGACGACTCTCACGAACAGCAGGATGTTCTGCGTTTCGTGCTGCCAGAGGTTTTCGCTTTGGCGACCGGGAATTGGCAGTTGGCTTCGCACCTGGTTTTCGGGAAAAGCCAATCATCGGGTTTGCATTGGGGACAAGAGGAATCAAATAGGGGGACAATGTTGGCTTAGGCATTCGAGATCGACCGGTCAGCGGAGAGACCATTTGCTCATCGTTGTTAAGATAACGCTTTAAAATACTCGGCAGTTCCTGCTCCAAATAGGATCGTGTGTAGGGTGAGGTAATTCCTGTTCGTGCTGGTGAGGTCCTCATTCGGTTTTTTAATTTGGGTTTTCTATTTGGTGGTTCATGCTCGCCAGCTTCCGTGGTACTCGAAGATGGTGTGTCCACTCTAACAGAGGCTGATGAACTGTTTGTTGAAAGCTTTGAGGAAGATCGTTTTGTGGTTTGTGAACAGGTAGAGTCAGATACTGTTCCCCTGATCTTACTATCCGAAGTAAGATCTTCACATTGAGTAGCAACTTCTTGCCGTTTATATGATTTAGTTCCGTCACATACATCACGACGTCCAACACCGGGACTGCTGTTTCGAGGAGAAAATTCAAATTCGGTTTGAGAGCCACGTGTAGTCTGTACGGACACAACATGCATCTTTTGCTCCCGATTTATTTCAGTATCAATGACGGTTTTTGAGTGAGTTCGTGGTGAACCCTTTTGGTTGATAGGTTGAATAGCTGCATCAGTCATGTTCCTGCAAGGTATGGGTAGAATGACACTTTCGCTCTTCAAAAGCTTTTTCACCGGTCGTCTTGGAGTTTTTCTGTCAGCGTCATTAGTTTCTTTCTTTGTGCACATTGACGGTGTGCTGTTTTCAATCCGATCCTCTCTTCCACATCCGCTCAACTGTTGAAATGTTTTAGCTCCATGTTTTTCCAGTAAAGTGCGCAACGGGCCATGGTCCACATTCTCTTCTTGTTCATTCATTATGGCCAAATCCAATGGGGTCACAGCCCCACCTTGTGGCAGTAGTGTACTAGCATTCACATTCGCTCCGTTTCGCAGAAGACATTCGCACAACTCTAAACCGGCTGAATCGGAACTCCATGAAGCGGCGACTACCAGATGCAATGCAGTATGACCTTGTGCATCTCGTGTATCAACGTTTTGTTTGAACGTGGACAATTTAGCTAGCTCCCGAACAAAGTGGACATTACGCAATAGACAGGCCTCGTGCAACGGAGCCGCGCCAGAATTTGTCGTAGTCCAAGGATTCAAACCAGCTTCTAACAGTTCAGTCATTTGTACGTGTAATATATTCTTATTATCTTTGTTGTTATTGCCAGTGTTTTGAGTGTTGTCATCAGATCGTTGATTTGCATTCATGTTGACCGTTTGAGTGGCCCCAAGACGGGCCAAGCAATGAGCCAGAGTGCGACCCTTGCTATCCTGAACTTGCACATTAGCACCGTAGTCCAGTAAACATTTGGTCACCTCATAATGGCCCATCGTGACTGAATAGAATATTGGTGTGCAACCGTCGTTGTCCGCCACGTCACGGAATGTGGCCATTTTACTAAGATCATCCATGTTTGCGACCGAAATGCAACTGAGCATTGAGTGCACAATATCTCGATTCCCTCGTGAAGCTGCACAATGCAGTGCGGTTAAACCACACTCGTCCGTGATATTTAATTTAGCACCAAGTTTTAACAATTGAACGACTGCTTCGAACGCTCCAATCGTGGCAGCCCAACTGAGTGCTGTACGGCCGTGCGCATCCTTCACATTCAGATCAGCCTTTCCTTGTTTGACCATTTTTTCCAATACTTTATTCACCACATTTTTCGGGAGTTGTACAGCATAATGTAGAGCTGTGGCGCCTTGATCATCAAGACAATCGATGCAATCGGTAGCATCCATTTCTAACAGCAAGTCTAGTATTTCAATGTGAACTTGAAGAACGGCCAAGTGAATCACAGTTCGGCCACCAACACCCGTTAAAGTTTTTGACCCCAAACTGGCGTCCTGAGAATCAGACGAGTCCGTTTTGACGCCCATTGGTGGTCGAAATTCTTGCATTGCACGGATAAACTCCACATCATTGTCCAGCACGGCTAAATGCATGGGTGAATAACCCTGAGCATCCAGCTGAGACATAAACGAACTGTCCGTTTTGACAATAATTCTTGCACATTTTATTCGGTCAAGTTGTTCGAATAAATTCCGCGGTGCTTCAGGAACCTTTTCATCCTCTCGTCGTACACAGTGATGTAATACATTCCGACCCCGACTATCCACCAGATCTTTCAGCTCCCCACCACTGATAATGAACTCACCTAAACGTTTCACATCTCCTCGATCACATGCATCCAGGACACCGATTAGCTGTTCATCGTACGAAGTTGTATCTTCAGTCCCCGGAGGACCCATCACATATCACGCAAACCTATCCTGCAATGTCTAACCGAATGAATCTTAGGTATTTATTTAGCACAAAATGAAGTTCCCGATGGACATTTAAACGAAATCACAAACTTTGCACACGACCAAATGGGTCGGAACAGATTTGGTCGAACAATTTTTGATCAGGTATCGTTAGCTATTTAGCTGATGAACTTCCAGTTGTAAGCAAACGTAAACACAATTTAACAATACTGATTCTCGTATGTTGAATGCATATTGAATAGAGCACGCGTTTTTCGTTACCTTGACTACCGCCACGGTTTCTTTGCGATTGGTCAATGAAACGCCAAGGCCGACCTTAACGATTGTAAGAGAACTGCAACAAACTCTAGGTCATGGGACAGTGTTTGTGTGAGTGCGTACGTGTGTTACCATACATGTGACTGCCTGTCAGGATAAAATGATGGAATGCATGGGGAGAAGCGGGAATTTGTCAAGTTTTCTCGCATGTGTAAAATCACATCACAAATAACCCGACATTGTATAACAGTTCTTTGAAGTTGACAATAGAAGTCACTGGCAATGATAAAATTAATGCAGTAGTGGTATAGGGTTGAACTGTATCATGGTAAGTTTCATACACGAATGAGTTCCGGCAGTAAGCTAGACAAATCGCGGTACAGTGGAATTCCATCGATTGCAAGGTCCACCAGTCAGGGGCCATCCGATGCGAGTTACGTGACGCATGAAGTGAATTATCATCCAACCTCTGTTCAAAAGATTAAGTGAGACACTCCACTGACGACTTACAAGTTTGGTTCTTGGGGTTTCTGATCAGCCGGCGTATTGGAGTGCGAGTTCGGGCTGAGTGTTAGGTTGATCAATTGCCCCGATATCAGTGCTGAAATCTGTCGGACTTGTGTTCGCAATCCGATAATCGGTCTGTAAATCTATAGTTAAGAAATCAGAGAACCGTTCCGTTTCAGTAATTGGTTTCACAGAGCTAGTATTTGATACGTTTGTTATGATTGCAATTCACAAGTCCGAAGAAGGATTACGGTGTTTCTTTTCTGTTGGGTGGAGCTTTTGCTCTATTGCTGCGATTTCATTGGATAGTGTCTTCTACCAGTGCTATCAATGATTGACCCAAAAGAGCTGACGCTTGATAGCCTAAATGAACACTTCCGGGGCTGAATTCAGAAACCATACTCGGAAATCCGTTTTACGTTGTATGTGCTCATATGCTGCTTTGTTGAAAATAACAATATCTCCCACATACACCATCACAAACTCAAAATTAGCGAATCTTTTGTCCATTATTTGTTGCAAAATGTCTGGGTCAAATCTAACACTAAAAGGGAGACGATTGCAACGGTACAGACCCCTTGGAGTGTTGATGATAAGCAGCTCTTTGCACTCGTCTTCCACCTCAACGTTTGAGGGTGCATTAGAAAAATCAATGTTGGAAAATATCATACCACCGTTTAATTTAGCGAAAAATTTTCTGGAACGGGCAATGGGTACTAATGTGGCCCAAGGTATCGACTCAATATCTTTGGCAAATCGGCGCAGATTACTATGAACCCGTTGGTCTTCTTGACTACAGAGATCAGTGCAACCCATTCTGAATAGTTAACTAGACTAATTACTCCGGAGTGTTTCAACCGAGTCAGGTCATCGTTGACAAGCTCTAATGATGCATGTTGTACAGGCTATTTTGGACAAAATATGAATCTGGTGCCGAAAGTTACATACACCTCGGTGATCGCTAAAACCGGTGAACACAACGAGAATCAGGCAGGTGTTGGTGTGGTTCATATGCCTGTTCTTAGCTGTTTTGGAGTCAAAGCTTTGAGCTAACTCCGCTGAGTGATCTGACAGTGGTCCATCTACCAGATTATAGCTCCGCATTTGGCTTTTCGTTCTCTCACTTTGTCGATTAAGCACCTCTGCCACACGAAATCAGTGAGTGGGGTTTCTTAAGTAGATGCTACTTCAAATATCTAATCTTACACGAGGATTCTTTGAGAATTAAGAGAAGGGTGAGTAGTTATAACCGAGAACACCTACTCAGAATCATACTGCTTAGATTAATACCTCTGGAGCGGTCACCAAACGAAGGTTTTCGTGATGATGAACTAGCGATAAGATTGATCTGAAAGCTGATGATTCCAAACAGTAGTTAGTTCATTTCTTTTACTTTTGGGTTATCCTAAAAATATTGTAGCCATTTTCAATTACGGTATTGTGGCTTCGGAAATACACCTTGCAATGAGTTAACAGTACTAGTTTTCCATAAACCCTTTCGTATTGTCCGTGCTCCCCATCAGGAACGTAGAAAAAACGGTACAGAAAATATAATTGCGTAATACAACTGCGCTGTTAAGAAAACACGGCACAAGAGAATACAGACATCACCTGGTCTATGGGGTCTGACCCCGAGCAGCGGCTGGTGGTCGTCAGGCACGTTGTGTTAAAGAATTCCCTTTCTGTGCCATTTTTCAAGAACAAACAACAAAGGGATTCCATAGATTCACTTGATTTATTTAAGTCGTTTTGATGGGTTTGATGGCGCTTTGATATAAGTAACCAACCTATATTTGTGCGGTTTGCCCCTGTCAAAATGAAACATCGGAGATTGATCAATCGCACTCATACAGTATTTTTAATTTTACTTTCCATGTTTAACTGTCTCACCCACTTTTCACAATGTTCTGTATCCTAATCCACCTATCCTTTTTCACTGTCATTGTTGTTGCGTTGGCACCATGCTTGTTTTCAAGCCGGTGGTAAATATATATATATATACTTATCCTAAGAACCACACACTGAGACGATCAATTTTACGATAGAGGCTTATGATCGCTTCAGATTTGATGAGACAGGAATGGAATCAAAACAGTGGAAGTGGAGCTTATAATTTATTGTCTATTACTTGACTAAATGTAATCATAGCTGTTTACCTTGGGTGAACCCACGACGTAACAAGCATCAACAAAAGCATTATTTCAGTGTAAGGATTTAAGATTATCTCAGTCAGTACATTTAAAGTCACCATTGGTAGACAACCGGCCAATCACCGTTGAAAAACCGTGAATATATATAGACGTAATAAGATGAAGCGAATGCTTTTCTCAAGCCATTGACAGTTTGCTTATTGACTTAGTTCTGTACGCATTTTCGAAGTTTGGCATCCGAATACACAAAGATAAGTATTATTTCTCCATCTATTTGAACTATTCTGTTATCACGTTGGATTGATAAACTACAGGATTTGGTGTATTGCTAATTAGTATAAAACATTTGTGAATTGATTTCAAAGATTTCCTCGGATAGAAGGCGTGCTGATTTTGTGTGATGAAGACGCCTTTTTGAACTTTTGCAATCAAGAGTCTCACCTGCTGTGTACAGTACTACTGCCAAATCGGTGGAGAGTACCTTGAATGTGTATTTAAACATTCTTATTCTGGTGTGTGTCCTTATCCATCTCACTGCGATACAAAAAAACGCCATCTCCCCCCCCCTCGGGTATAATCGATTATATGTGTAAGGGATCTGAGAGCAGAACACACAAGTACATGCGATTGCATCATTCGTTTCTGTACTTCTCTGGAGAATCACATTCGCAAAATGGTTATTTCATTACATCAGGATCAACAAACAAACAAGGCCAATATAGAGTCACATGCAAATTGTTTCCATTACCATGGCTAGTATCACCATCTCTATTGATCGGTATAGCCTTGGCAAGCCTTAGCAACTGGTAAACAACGCGAAGTGTCTTCCCTTGATCACTCTGATGCTGCATTCAGAGTGGATACTTCAGGATGAAGCTCGTTAACATTGAAAACGCACAATCCGTAAATGGAATGAATCTCAGTGAGGAAATCGCATGATATGATCAAGGTGGTTTAGCCACGGTTGTCAGGAGATACTACTCACCTTTGTGAGTGGTGTCCATGGTGAGCATACACACAGAGGCGATTGGTGGATTTTAACGGCATCTGGGAGTGGATTACAGGATTGGTGATTGTAACTGTAGAAGAGATAAAGGAAAAACCGAGCTACTTGACCATGAATCAATAGCCTTTAAGAAACTACTGATCAACTGTTGTAGAATAATGTTTTGTTTTATGTCATCCTATGTATCCGACATTCATGATTATCTTTCACTTAACGGCTCTCTGCAGTCCGGCATTGTCTTAGGATTGTAAAACACGGTGAGCGAAAGGAAAAACGCGAACGGAAAAAATGTGAACTCAATACTTCAGATACAGTTCACCCGTTATACTCAAATGCTCTCGCTCTATGTTAGACTTCGTCTGTTCGAATATTGTTCGGTTATTTCAAACCACTTTTCGTTTCGATAAGAAAATTTCCAAGAGATTGAGATCTCAAGACTTTGGTGTCCATTCCATTGGTGGGCAGCATAAAGTCCAACGACTTATGAACTTCTCTGTCAGAAAACATTAAACGCAAAGGGTATTACAGGCCAGCGCCTAGTCATCGTGTTGCGCCCACATTTGATGACGCTATCTTGGAAGCAATGCATTCCGTATCTGAGTCAGTTCTTCTTTCAAATGACTTCGATGCAGTATGCCTCATTTCCCATAGGGATGATATTTTGAGAATTAATCACTTATGGCGCTTCCACTATTGAAGAATAGTCTGATAATTTTATCGGCTATCATTCCATTTATTTCAGTTGACAGTCAACGCAGCGTCGTTGATTCCCAGCTGAGCAATAATGGCATCTTCAAAAAACGCAAATTCAGTTAAATAGGGCTACACCGGTGAACAAAATCGCACGAACGTCTACGTGCTGCAAGTGTGGAAGTAAAAGTGAAGGCTTTTAAGTCGTCCTTCAATATGAACTGTTGCAGCTAAAGTCTTCCGGGTCTTTTGTTTTGAAATGGTTTAATCGGTGGAGGTAATGCAAAAGAAAATTATGAGTCAAATTTTGGACGCCTTTGTATGGGCTACCTTTGTCCTTTGATAAATACGGGGAGTGCTCACAGAGCCCGTTG